ATATATTTTTTTTTTCTTAAGTTTTCGCGGGTACTTACATGTATGGCCTTCAGCTTTGTTCGGGTATTTTCCGACGTCATAGTAGTGGTGCTTTTAAAGTTGTAGCAACGTTTCAGCAGAATCTCATCTGCCATCATCAGGCTTCTGTATTGTGTCCGTCTGCTTCTCAGAGTGAAGCACAGAGCTGAAGACACAAGCCTGAAGATGATGAATGAGACTTCATCGAAACGTTGCCTAGATACTTCCAATCTTACGCGGGAGAAAACCCGAATAACCAAAGATCCACATACAAATACCCGCGAGAACCTCAGAAAACATATATATTGACGAGTTTATTGTTTTGTTTTTTGTTGCTATACACCATCCTAAGTCACTTCTTGTGAGATAGGTGGCCATATAAATGTAATAAATAAATAAACCTGTATTTTTATTGTGATTTTCTACATTTATATGTATTATATTTGGAAGGACAGATTTAGTTCTTGGAATATATTTAGAATAATGTCGTAACAAAAGCATATGCTGCGTTTGAAGCATTTTTATTCCACTATTTAGCCAAAAAAGTATCTACAAAGAGGCTACAATAATTACTAAAAATATTCTTATTAGCAGACTTAAAATCTAAAAGACAAATTTCAGAAAGAGTATTAAATAGAGATAAAAAGCTTATTTTTCAGTTATGTTTTTCATTATTTAATGAGTCTCAAAATAAAGAAATACAGTGCATGCAAACATTTAGACACCATCCTCTCTCATGACATTGCATATTTTCATTAATTCCGAAGTGAACAAAAGCTGAGAAACTTTTACATGTTAAATATCACATCTTTCCTGAACTTTTGTACATAACTTCAGACATCTAATATTTGGCACCTAACTTTGTTTTACTTCACAGAGAACTGTTGTTTAGCTCTATTTTAATTAAGTAGCTTTTCCTAGTTTCTAATACATTCTGTGCAATGAAGGACTTGTTCTTCAAAAATATTACATAACAATTATACTCAGACATGCCCTTGTTTTGTATCCTTGCCCTGTGATGTGTTGTTTTAGTAATGCTTATGGAAATTTTTCAGCAACTGTTCCAATAATCTAATATAAGGACGCTGTTTTTGTAAGGATACTGCTATACTCCCTGAGACTATGTAATGTAACTCAAAAAATATTAGGAACCTAAATTTCTGCTAAAGACCATTATAAAAGCCTAGTATTATTTGAGATTAGTCCTATAATTTTGTTTCTTGCTCTATGTTCTAACAATTTTTTAAAATCGGCATTAATTAGGGGCAGAATGGATAATAAATACAGCAGCATGGCCTTGTGAAAAAACGGATGTCCTCAATCGACGTAATCTGCTATATGCTGTAGCATCTGAATTAATTACAAAAAAACGGCATGATGAAGCGTTTGAAGTCTTAAAAAGTCTCCCAAGTTTTCAGAATGCTCATGGTAAGTTGTTAGTTACGTTACAATACTTAAAATAATGGACTTTTAGTTTGAATATGCGTCATTGGCATTTTCATTTATTTTTTATTTTTTATTGATTTGTTTGTCAAGCATGTATGAGAAAATAAATATAAATATGAATATAACATATAAATATATAAGTATAAACAGGTATAAGTATATACATAAAAATGAGTACAAATAAATAGATACATGGGAATAGTAGGACAGGAATGGTAGGCATGCTGGTGCACTTATGCACGCCCCCTTACGGACATGGAGTGAGGTCCACGGTAGGCAGTTTAAGGTTAAAGTTTGGGGGGGTTTGAGGATGTAACAACAGAGTCAGGTAGTGAGTTCCAAGTATTGACCACTCTGTTGCTGAAGTCGTATTTTCTGCAATCAAGTTTGGAATGGTTCACTTTGAATTTGTATCTATTGTTTGGCCATGTGTTATTGCAATTGAAGCTGAAGTAATCGTTGACAGGTAGAATGTTGTAGCGGACAATTTTGTGTACTAAGCTTAGATCAGACCATAGGCGGTATAGTTCTAGGTTGTTCAGGTCCAAAATGTCAAGCCTGGTAGCATAAGGTATTCTATTGTGAGCAGAGGAGTGGAGTACTCTTCTCGTGAAATACCTCTGGACTTGCTCAATTATATTGATGTCTGTTAACATTGTGGATTTCAGGTAGATGAGCTGTATTCAAGAATTGGTCTGGCAAAGGTTTTATATGCCCTGATTTGCAGTACAGTGTTACCAGAGAAGAAGCTTCGCAAAATTAGGTTAACAACTCTTAATGCTTTTTTGGCAATGCTGTTACAGTGAGCTCTGGGGCTTAGATCTTTTGAAATGAGTACTCCTAGGTCCTTGACAGAGTGAGAGTCGTCTATGAGGTCGTATCCGCCCAGTTTGTATTTAGTGTTCTGATTTTTGTTGCCAATATATAAGACAGAGCATTTGTTGGTTGAGATTTGAAATTGCCAATTGTTCGACCATTCTGACACATACTCAAGGTCGCTTTGTAGGGTAGCAGTATTGTCAGTGATGTTAAACAGTTTTATGACATCAGCGAAGAGGACACAGTTGCTTATAATATGATCACAAAGGTCATTTATGTAAATTAGAAAGAGAGTGGGTCCTAGAACATTATCCAGAGGTGCTGTGATTTGGGATGTATAAATTAAATCTTAAACAAATATTTGTGTTTTCAGTCACCTAATGAATCAGGTTTCCTAATTGAATTAAATTGAATTGAATTCTTTATTGTCATTGTACATTTATACACAGTATACATACAACGAAATTCACATAACACCCAGAGACCAGACTCAATACGCACATACGCAACAATCCCCAAACACCTCCCAACCTGCCAAAATTCCCTGCCTCCCAAAAACAAACAAGCATCCACACAACAGACCAAGTAATACTGTCCAACAGCTCACTGATGGTGGTCCTTAAGTTCATTGTTAAGTGCAATTATAGCTCTGGGATAAAAACCATTCAGAAACCGTGTGGTCCGAGTTTTAATTGTTCTGTATCTTCTGCCAGGATGGGAAGAGTCCAGGGGTGGGATCCGACCAGTGTAACTACCGGTTCAGTGATTTTACGTTTTCTGCGTGGATGTGCACTACACGCGCGTTTATATCATTATCAGCTAGCTTCCTGGACAGCTGAGCAGCGCTGCATGCGGATGCGCAGTGGTAGAAAAGGCACTTTTTTCCTGCTTTTTCAACCACAGCTGTGCAGCGCAAAGCAGCTGCGGTTGAAAAAGCAGGCAATAAAGGTCAGGTAAGAGCCCAGGTGGGCGGGTGGGCCAAAAGAGCAGCAGACATAGTACCAATTCTATGTACGCTCTGTTTGCTACTCTTCAGAGCAACTGGTTCCACAGAGGTGGACAGGATCAGTAGAATCCCACCCCTGGAAGAGTCTCAGAATGTTGTGCAACTTCCTAAAAACAGCGACATGCAAAGATGTCATCTAGGGCTGGTAGCTGGAGCCCAGTAATATTCTGGCCAGTTTTAATGATTCTCTGTAGAACTTTTTTGTTCACTACGTAGCTGTTTCCATACCATACAAAAATGCAGTATGTCAGGACACTCTCAGTGGTGCTGCAGAAGTAGATACTGAGATAGAATTATCTTCCTGAGCATTCTCAGGAAGTACAGCCTCTTCTGTGCCTTTTTTTACAAGCATGTTAGCATTTATAATATAGCTAGTTCTACTTATTCACAGAGATTCTGTGCCTTCTCTGCAGGACCTGTCCTTTGAATAGGCCTGAAATCCAGATGGTCATCCTTTGTCAATATTTACTTACCAAAAATGATAAACAATGGTCCTAGTGCATAAAAAAAAAAAACAGTAGGAGCAGGAGTGATTTCCAATTTTGGGAGAAGCTGGCAGAAACCATCAGAATTCATGATGACCTGGTAGTGGTGTTGTAATGACCAATTCAATTGGTTTGAATATCCTTGAAATTTCAATTGCACTTTGTAATTGGTCCCAGATTTTGAATGCATTCTTTAAATTAGGCTATTTGAGGTATCTTGATTCAAAAATTGTTGCCCTGTGATACACTATTTGGACTAATTGAAGGATACAAACTGACAGGAGATTTTGTACCGGTATATATATAAGATTTATTAAGGTCCTTTTATTTGACCTCTTAATATAAGATATATGTAACAATTGTGCATTGTGCTTGACTCTTATTTAAGAAGCTTCAGTATGAAATTGAAAGAGAAAAAAAGTTTCTTGATCTTGGCATCCATATAAAAACTAAAATTAAAAAAAAACATTTTATATAGTTTGCATCATTTCACTGATGGAAGAAGTTGTATGCTTCATAGCTGAAAAATATTCCTAAATTTTCTTTTACAGACTCTCTGGATGTATCCCAGTACTTCCTTTTGTTTAATAAATTGCTAAGTGCTTGTTCAGAAAGCAGGAACATTGAAATATCATCTGCTGTAGTAGAATTCATGTTTGCAAGAAATATTCCTATTGAATTTAATTTACTTCGAACATTAATCACAGCACTAGGAAGAAGCTGTTTGTGGCTTAAGGCCAGGAAACATTATAAAAGTAAGCTTTCTTAAAAACATGTCATTTTTTATGTTAGACCAACTTCTGGAAATGTATGCGCTAAAAATTTTTTATGGTTACATTAATATTGAACACTGTCCAGAGTAATTTGGAGAACATATACTTGCATGTCTTTTTAAATTTATGGAATAGCTGATTATGCAAAATCTGTTGTAGACTGAGGAGCAAACAGTAAAATGATTTGAGATTATTAAAAGCATTGTGTAAAACATGTCTAAATTCACCATTCTGTGAATGGAACAGATTTTTTTTGGTGCATCATGCCTGAATTACAACATGTTTTGGATGTTCTGATCTGTTTCTGGGAAGAATGGATCTCATATTCTAGATGCATATTAAAACACATTTATTCTAGGCTTGAATGGTTTGAACAGGATAAAGAGCGGGAAAAGCAAGGTTGGAATTTTCTTGGAGAGCACATACAGAAGGCCATAGGGAAGGTCTGGTAGCAGGCAGGTCAGCATGCTAGCCCTACAAAGGATGAGGCAACATACACTAGTAATAATCTACTTGCCCTGTAAAATTACTTGGGGATTCTTCTAGATTTTGTGTTGATAAACCTCCAGAACAACCGTTACATTACAGGTTGTATTTATATTGAACTCCAGCCAATTTGAAATAGTTCAATAAAACTTCTAGAACATAATGGTAATTTGGGCTCATAACAAAACATATTTTCTACCAATAATTATTGATATTTAGATATTATCTGTTATTATTTAATATGTTATACATATATTTTCAGATAGACCCATTTTTAAAAATTTCGGGTTATTTTAGAAGAGATTTATGGCAGAAAAAAAATATTGCAGCAATATAACTTTGTTTTGCTTTTTTAAGAAAGGAACAAAACCCTAGCCAAGTCCTAGATTGTTTAAGAATCAGTGGAAGAATGAACTGGATATTCCACTGTGTGGTAGTGATGAACATACTATTGCTAAAGTAGTGTTATCGAATTTAAATCTGGAAAATGAACAAGTAAAGCATTGTATGATTCAATGGGCAAGTAATTTTGGATATAATGCTTGAACAGTGGGAGAATTTGTGGAATAAAGATTTAAAGTTTACATTAAACTATAATTTAAAAGAAAATTTCTATAGGATGGTGTATTGTTGGTATTTAACTCCAGATAAATTGTCAAGAATGTATAAAGGAACCTCAAATGAATGTTGGAAATGTAAATGTTTATCATCTATGGTGAACGTATGATAAAGCAAAGAAGTATTGGAGTAGGATTCATATCTTAATACAAAAAATTCTTAGAGTTAATATAGAAAGAAAACTGGAGATTTTTCTTTTGGTTTTAATGGAACGAGACTTTGAAAAAAAATGGAACTCTGATGTTATATATGTTGACGGCAGCAAGATTACTCTATGCACAGAAATGGAAGGTCACCTTGATTCCCACAATGGATGAATGGCTGCAAAAACTGATGGAGTTAGCAGAAATGGCTAAATTGACTGCTTTGATCAAATAAAAAAATACAAGTTCTTTCATTTCTACTTTAAAACCACTTCTGGATTTTGTGCTTCAGGTCGAAAAGAATGAAACTTTGATTTTGGATTTTACCGATTAGATAATTTGTTGTTATAGAAATGGTTAGTTTCTATTACTATGAAAAAGTGAAAAGCTGAAGGTAGATCCTAATGCCTTATTTTTCTGAACCAAAGGAATCGGAAGTCAATGCCTTTTTTTTCTTTTTCCCTTGGTTTCCCCCCACTATCCACTTCCCTTTTTCCTTTCCTAATTTACCTAATATTTGCTTTTGTATTATTTTCGTATGCCATATTATAAATTAATAAAACAACAACAATAAGAATAAGAATCAATGGAAGAATGTTAAAAATGGTTTACAGCTTCTTAGTTGTACTAGCATATCTAAAACATCTGAGCATTCTAAATAAGCTATGAGATTAGCTATGCTAATTCTTCTTTTCTTCTCTTTCCCATTTACCAAAATATCCAGAGATCAACAGTATGAAAATGGAGAAAGTTTAGAGCTGTCTATATATTAAAGCAACCTTAAAATTTGTAATAAGCTACAGAAACAAGAGATACATGTTTAGCTAATATTAACCCTTTTAATTTTTTAATTTTTTTTGTTATTTTTAGGTGCTTTAGCATTAGGTTGCTATCCACCACCAGAGGGAAATCTTTATCGTAAACTTTTACTGATTCCTTCATATATGAGTGAAATTGAAATGCTATTAGCAATTGAATTTTTTTTAGTTTCAAATGCTAGTTGTATTCAGAGTCCTGGAGCTTCCAGTCAAATACTTCAAATAGTATTAAAAAGGTTAGTATATATTCCAAAAGCATGTCTAATTAGCTGAAAAAGTTGCTCATATATTGATTTACCCCCTGCAAAAGATGTATTATTTTATTATTAATTTAGATAGTTATTTGTCAGCCAACTCTGCTATCATTTCTAATCACAGAAATGAAATGTTGCTACTGAAAGTCTTCCAGAACAATAGAATATTAATCATAACTCTTGTGATTTTGAATTTTTTTCTAGATGTGAAGATAACAATATTCGAAACAATGATGAATATCAGAATGCTTCAGAGAGACTGTTTCAGGCTGCTCAGATATCTAATCCAAAGCTTTTCGTAAAGCATTTGACAGTCAATGTTAATAAGGACCAAATTTATAATTTGGAGCATACTTCTGTTGTTAAATGGTTGAAAGAGAATATGAAATGGGCAGGAAAAACCTGGCTTTTTAAGTCAAGATTTAGTTACAGTAATCATTGCTTAAAATAAATCAATAAAGGTTGTTTCTGTTGTTTTCAGATTCTTAATAATTCAATCTTTTGGTTTCTAACATTAAAAAAACAATTCAGAATATGGCTTTCTAAGCATGGTCATTCAGAAGGACCTGTTCTTGATCATTTAATCTCTTTTTTGTGTGTGTGTCAAAATATGCTTACAGTTCAGAGTTAAAATTACAGATTTCATAATCTTCACCCATCTTTCAAAAACAAGGCTATTGCCATGCAAATAATAAGTTTATAGTTCTGAAGACAGTATATAATAAAATTTTATAGTTTGGGACATACTTGCGTAGTTAAATGGTTGTCTTTTTATTATAACTTTCGTTACAGTAATCATTGTTTAAAATGAATCAATAAAGCTTGTTTCTGTTGTGTTCAGACTCCTACTTACTTTGTTCAATATTAGTTTCTAAGAAAAGAAAATAATACAGAAATTTGCTTACTAATGTGATCAGAAGGACCAGTCTTTTAAAAAAAAAAAAACTTTTATTAGATTTTTTAAACTAAAAAAACAAAAACAAACTAATATTTGAGATAGAAAAGAGTAAAAAGTAAAAAATAAAGCAAAGCTAAAATGCTGAAAAAAGTGAAGTATAAAGAAATGATTTCTGATTTTACATTAAATAGATATAAATTCTCCAGTCTAAGGTTGCAAAATAACTTGCATTTTATATTACTACCGTACTATTGTTTCTAATAATCAAACCCATATATTATAATTTCATTTTTTTCTGTTTCACACAAAAAGTCCAAAAAGTCAGTCCTCATTAAAATTTTCTCAGTGTCTTCTTTCATCAAAGCTATCATTTTTGCAGTCTCAGTCACCAGCATCTTTACAATTGTAGCTAATGTCCAGTTTTTCTACCATTGGGTATATAAACACTGCCATTATACAAAAGAGCAAAGTCCATGAATTTGTTGTTTGTCCATCAGTTCCCTAGGAACATCTCTGATACCAGTATTAATCTTTAAAATCTTCTGAGTATATATAATTGAATCTAAAACTTTTTGGCTTTTTTATATGTCCATGTAAAATGTTCCCTCATGTTTATGTTTTTAACATAAATTTGAAGTATCTCTATATATTTTAGACAATGTTTCTGGTGATAAATACTAATAGTACATCATTTTATAAAAGTTCTCTTAAGATTGTAATGTAAATTTTAATCCTTTCATCCACATATTTTCCAATTGTTCCATTTGTATATTATAATCAACATTTTAACCCATGTTATCATACATTTTTTCACTTATTCTATGTCAAATTTTAGTAAACATTGATAGATTTTAGCAATAACATGTTCATAATTTGCACATAATTCTGTTTAAAATGTTCAGAACCAAAAATCCTTTTAGTTATTATAAATCTCTAGTACTTCTACATAAGAAAATCAATAACA